CTGACACAACAAAATGCCATCCAACTCCCAGGCGGAGCAAACAACCAGCCGCCCCCTGCCATTTCTTGAAGTGTGATGGTCCACCAGAATGCTATTAATGAGCATTCTGCGTTGGACCTATCGGACCCAGTCTCTGCGTGGGATCAAGTCCCTTGCTACACTGAACTCTCTTACCTTAAAATTGCCTCCTGGAATCCAAACTCTCTACCTGCGCATTTCAATGAAGCTCTTGCTTGTGCTTGTGATGTTCTTGCCATTCAAGAAGCACGTATGAGCAAGGACACTGCAGTTGGGCTCAGCAAGGAATGTAGAAAAAATGGTAAACAACTTTTCTTCGGTAATTTGCCCATGTACAAAAAGAATCTCAACGGCCTTTTTCTCGACAAAATGACACCCGGAGTTGCTTTTATCATTTCTTCTCATATTTCGGTTAGAGATGTTAAGGTGCCCGAGATGGAATCTTGGTTTACGCAAGGAAGATTTCATGCGCTACAAGCTTTTGTACAAAACAAATGGGTCACATTTTTCAACATTTACGCTCCAGCGCAGCAACCTGAGCCTATGCTTCAGGATCTCTTACAATATCTACGTGAACACAGTCACGAAGATATAATTGTCTGCGGTGACTTTAACACTGACACTAGGCTTGGCCTTTTTGTTCGTGAGCTTGCGACATCTCGTTGGTGTCCTCTAACAATGCACACAGACCATGACTTTATCACGTATGTTCACCCCAAAGGGGGCACTTCTGTCATTGACTCGATTATTGTCTCGCCTTCTTTGGTTGAGCACATCAGCAATGTAGAGCAAATGTCTATTTTCGAAAAAGGTCATAGACTCATTTCGGCCATCGTCACTCATGATGCTCGTCAACCTCCATCATGGGAAGTCGATATGCCTACCGTCGTGGCTCCCCTCCTGCATCAACAACAAGATGATTGGGCTAGTTGCGTTAATCAGCTGCTTCAAGATGCACAAACTAAGTCAATTTCTGACATTTGGCGCACTTGGTGCAATACTTTTTGTGACACGCATCACGTCCCTCCTGATGCGCTGGGAGGTTCGCCCAAGTTTAGGCTACGTGATGAGCACAAACTTGACAAAGTTCGAGCTAAACTTCAAAAAGCTATTTTGTTCCAAGATGAAGAGAGCAAAAAGCTTACACTTCAAAAGCTTCATCGGATCTCGAAAAATCACATTCGCAATTGGAGAAACCAGATCACTGGTAAAAATGTTTCACAAGGTACTTGGCTCAACTACCTCTTCAGATGGATTCGTGGTTCTGGCGTTCCGGTTCCCTCTTGTATTGCTAGCCAATCTTTTGGTGTACAGGGTACTACCACTAACATTGCGGATTCGCTTAAAGAAATTCAGCAATACTTCAGTGAGATCTACAACAAAAACAATATTTGGACGCAACTACAGCATCAACCTTGTGAACCGCAAGCGGTTGAACCTGCTGACTATGAGCCTGTCGTCGCTACCTTACAGAAAATCCTCAAACAGCTGGACACTTCCAAGGCACCAGGGATTGATGGGTTTCAAGTGTGTCATTTTAAAAATCTTTGCCCTGAAGGTATTAAGGCGCTTGCTATAGTCTTTGCTGCTGCTATCAAGCAGCATGCCATGCCGGAAGAGTGGCTGAACTGCCGAGTGGCTTGTATCCCTAAACGTACTGGCAAAGTGTCCGTGAAAGATCTTCGGCCTCTTACTATTGCACCGGTCGCTTATAGGCTTTTCTGTAAAACTTTGCTTGTGTGTAATCAGGGTTGTCAACAAAATGTTGCTACGGATTCCGTAGGAGGAATTGCTAAACGTTCATCTTTTTACGCGTGGTTCCCAGCTGCACTGAAGTGTGAGGCCTCATGGCGATACAAAGCTGAACACAAGCAATCCATTCAAGGTGTTGCTATTGACACGGCAAAATTTTTTGACCACATCCCTCAGCCCAAAGCGTGCGAAGCTTTACTGCACATCGGCTTCGACAGGGACCATGTCGCTACGTGGGCGCATGGCCTTGCTCACATTAAACGTTTCGTATCCCTGAATGGAGCGATCAGCAAAACGTCTTTTTGTTGCAATATTGGCATACCGCAAGGAGATCCAATTTCTATGCTTGCAGCTGCTGCCTTTCTTGGCATGTGGACTCAAGAAATGCCCAGAGAACTTACACTTGCTAAAGTCTTCGTTGATGATCGGCTCCTGCTTGGTAATGATCACTTGCATCTCCAACACCTATTCCATGCCACCGAATTCTGGGATACTCATCATTGTTTCAGCACCAAAGACAAAACAGTCGCTTTCGGAAATAATAATGCAGACGACAACCTGTGGTGGCTCGACGGTATGGAAGTCAAGCGAGACAGCCAAGTTGTTTACCTTGGCATCCCTCTGCCCCTCAAAGGCCTGGTGCGCTTCGATTTCTTTGAGCCTATCATTCAAAAATGCATCATTGTTCTTGACAAAATGATCAATGCCAAAGTGCAGCAGCATATTGCCGCAGAAGTTATTGCCAGAAAAGTTATACCTGCGCTCTGCCATGCCACTTCCGTAGCTCGTCCTACGCGTGATCAAGTTCAACGATTGCGTACTAAGATCTTCGCAGCGGCCGCTTTGAGACAATGCCAGACTCAAGATGCACATTCTCTCTTTGCAGAGAAGACACACGTGTTTGATCCGGATTGTGCCATGATTTATCACAATTTGTGTTTTTGGAACAGGCTACTGTGTGCTCAGCCGCACATCAAAAGTGAATTGCTTCAGTTTTTGGACCGTTGCCTGCCGGTTTACAAAAATCTACTTGGACCAGTTACTTTACTGCAGCATGATATCCAAGAGCTTGATTGTCAATTGCAATTGCCTGACTTCATTTTCAACACTAAGGATGGACAACAGATTTCTCTACAGGACACTGACAAACAAAAGTTTTCTCATTTTATGCGTGATCTCGTCCGAAAGACGCTCGCGCGAAAACTTCTTGCTAAACATGAAAAATGGACTGGTGTATTGCGCTGTGATATCAACATCACTACCAAACTTCTGCGCCAAATGAAGCCTGATAACCCCTATAGGAATGCTCTTGTGCGCCTGTTGACTGATGCGCACAATACCCCCTACCGAGTTTATCAAATGCACAAGTCACACTCTCCGCATTGCTATCATTGCCTACATGAAAAGGGTGATATTCAACATTTGTTGTGGAGTTGCCCTCGCTTTCAAGACATGCGAGCTGACTGGCCTGTTGCTCTTCAGCAACGGGAACAGTGGTCACCCTGCGCGCTTAATTTTATGATTTACTCTGCTGAAATGCCTGCTAGCTTGAAGGGTCAGTGGCCCCACTTACAACTGTTGGTCACGCAGCTCATCAATAGATGGATGGAGTTTTCGCGCAACAAAGACCTTGTTTCCAGGTTTGCGCCTAACGACTCTCCGTCTCTAATGGTGGGAAATCCACAAGACGCGCCTACTACATGTCGACAAACTGCCCTGAAGCAAGTTTGTCCTCTTGACCTTAAATGGAACAAGCCTAACACTCGATCCAAGATGCAGGGTTGGGGAGGGGATGATGCTGAATTTAACCTTGTTTTCACTTTCTGGGCAAAGTGGACTACTACGCAACATCCTCATTCCGAACCGATTCAGTGTTGGTTGCAAGCCTTTTTACTTTTTCTGCGTATTGGAGGACACAAAGCCAATTTTGTTCAACAAGCAGATTTTATTGGACGTGCTTTGTACAAATTTCGCACGCTATCCATGAAGCTACTCAAGCTTTGTTGGATGCACAGTGAACAACTCCAAGAATTTCTTGACTTTCAGCCTCAGCCTTACAAATGGATTGACAATTTTCCTTTTGATCTCACATTTCCCAGCAACCTCTTCTTCGTTCCTGCCTGGGATTTGCAAGGTACTTGCAGAAATCTGTCTCTTCTGCAAGCGCAAACTGTGATTGAACAAGGTGTTAATTGTCAAATCATTCGTATTCCTCCGCAGGCCTTCCTTGACGCAGTTTCTGGCAAAAGCTGTCAACTTCAAGACAAAGATCTTTCAGCTGAATGGCCCACCTTTCGCATACATGGCAAGTTCGCGCAGCCCACCTGGCTTACACAGGTATCGGATTGCAAGCTTTTGCCTATTCAGTTTCAAGAAATTACTTGCATTTCGCAATTGCCTCTGTCAACTTGGCGCAACATGGATCCTGTTGACATCAGGTGCAAATTGCGTGGCATCACCAAAAGGTTCATTGCGGCCAAGAGGAGATATGAATGCTTCAAAAAACATTTTCTCAGGGTGATGGAGCTTGCTCATTTAAACGATGCACGCCTTCCACACATCCTTTCCTCTGAGTGGACAATGGATTTCCGTTGTCATTTCTGTAAGCGACAAATTTTCTTCTGCAAAGCTCCTGACATGCTTCAATATTTTTGCTTCAAAGCTGTGCTGCTTGATGCAGACACGGTCGCTGCTTGGGTTCAACGCTTTGATGACACCATTGACTCTATCTCATCTATCCTTGCGAAGCTTAACCATTGATCAGTTAATTCATGTTCTCGACCACTGATGTTGTGTGCTTGCTAATCGTGCTTAGTACAAATCTAAGCTGTCTCACCTTGATATGATTCACGACCTCCGGTCCGCAGTACAAGAAATATATACCCTACTTCATCTTGGGCAGGCAAGTTCACGACCCGGCAAGAATGCTTCCCAACGACCCGACCGACTCTAAACGCTAAAACCCTCAACCCTAAACCCTAAACACTTTTCTGAACTTCTGAATACAACTGTTTGCAAGTCCCTGCATCGGGTGGACCCGGGAAGAGTTTACAACTACGTAGGCCCCTATGCAACCGTCATGGAACAACTACACCCCTGACCCTAAACCCTAAATGATAACCCTTAAACCCTAAACCCTCTAAACCCCAAACCTCAAACCCTAAACCCTAAACCCTAAACCCTAAACCCTACACCCTAAAACCAAGCCCGAGTCTCCAGTCCAGCGCGGCCTCGCGGGCCCAGACTGTGCTGACGAAGTTCTCGAGCACGCACCAAATCTGAGTTGAAGGATCTTGGGCATTTAGGGTTTAGGGTTTAGGGTTTAGGGTTCAGGGCTTAGAATTAGTGCTCAGCATTCGTTTTTGCTGGTCGCAGCTTGTGTCCTCTGATTCTTTATGGAGCTCAGCTCCATAACATCGGGATTCTCACTCCTTTGCTCCAAGCGAGGAGGGATCACACCAAGCCTCTCTCGCCAATGGCAGGCAAGAGGAACCAAGAGAACCGCAAATGGCATGCGGAACTCATTGTCCACTCCTTTGTCTGTTCAGTGAGAACCCCGGTGTCGCTTTGCCTTAGGCATGAGCGGCCCTTTCCTCGAAGATAAGGGCGGTAGAGGGCGGGAAGCCCAAAAAGCTACGAGCAAAGAACCGTCAACCATCAACACTCAGCATCGCACTACACTACGGGGCGAAAACTAAGTGCTCAGCATTCGTTTTTGCTGGTCGCAGCTTGTGTCCTCTGATTCTTTATGGAGCTCAGCTCCATAACATCGGGATTCTCACTCCTTTGCTCCAAGCGAGGAGGGATCACACCAAGCCTCTCTCGCCAATGGCAGGCAAGAGGAACCAAGAGAACCGCAAATGGCATGCGGAACTCATTGTCCACTCCTTTGTCTGTTCAGTGAGAACCCCGGTGTCGCTTTGCCTTAGGCATGAGCGGCCCTTTCCACGCGCCCCAGACACGGCGAAGCTGTAAAGTGGGCATTGTATCGGGACACCAAGTCGCGGGTTGACTGAGAGAAACGAATTTCGGCTAAAGCTGAAAGGCCATCTTGCAAATAGATGCGGCAGACACTGTGAGATTTCCACCTGCCTCGAAGCATGATGTGTTCGAGCGCCACACCCTGCTGCAGCAGGAAAGTTCCCCCTCCTCGTCTCAAGGAGTAGGGATGAAAATTGTGAGCCTGTACAAGAAAGAAGTTGCACAACAGCCTGAAGTGTCTGCGGAAACTTTGAGCAGAGCTTTTCCATATTCGGGCCGAGCCTGTTGAAGCCCGTAGCGAGAGAAGGGCGTGCAGAACACGCAAAAGCCATTGATCAAAAATCGGCAGAGCTTCTGCAGCCCCTTGTCTGAGGCCTGTTTTTGTGAAACGCAAGTTGACTACACCTTTATCTTGAGAGAGCGACAGATCCTGCAACTCTAGCTTCAAAAGTTCGCCTGTTCGCAGCAGACAGTGGAACCCAAGCCCGAGTAGCGCAGCAAACTCCAGCCACCCTTCCTCAACGCAACGCGCCAACATGGCGGAGGCAAGTTCTTTTGGCAGAGGCAGCCAGCACGCGAGCTGGGGGCTCCAGCCGCCTCCACGTTTTGAACAGCCTCCATGAAAGGTGTAACTGACGTCTTGTCTGTGGCCAGAAGAAGTGCAGGCCCGAAAGGGCGTCTCCGATGAGTGTCAGCGGTTTACCCTGTGACCAAACCATTTCAATCCACTCAGACACGTTGTCATCAACTTCTAACATTGAGACACATGTGTGCAAGAATGGAAGCACGAGAGCAACTGCTTGCTGATATCTGCGAAAGGTGCGGACCTGTATCGATGCGAAGGCTAACCTGGTGTTGCGCCGCGGCTGTCTGTGAACCATCACAGCCGACTGCCCTTGTCTGAGGGATTGGTAGCACTGTCCACGTGCCCCAAAATCAGACTGACAGACATTGCGAGCACGTAGGCGGCAATTTGCTTACTGAGAGCCGAAAGCATATTTGAGGAAGTTCGCCCCTTACAGCAAATGCAGAGAGTGACAAGACTGTCCACAAGGTGCACTACTCGTTTCCCTAAGTGGTCTGGCCTTGTGGATCTCCACTGAAGTGCCAGAAGCAAAGCTCGCATTTCCAGTGCATTGATGTGGTGAGAGAACCGCCACCTAGTCATGTAAACTTGTTTCCATGTCCACCACACAGCATCAACGTCAGCGCGCTTGAGGGCCTTCGGGCGGACGATTTCACCGGTGGCTATCCGAACATCAGATCCCGTGTGGTTTGCATTTCGGCACATGTGCTGGGCCAATGTAGCTGTGGGGGATACGGGAGCGGCAGCGCTTCCCAGGTCTCCATAGTTTTTGAACCTTGACAGGGAGGCACGGACGCTCAGCCGGGCTGAATGGCCTGGCGCGAGCCCCAGCCTACCAAGCAAACAGGCCACGCTGGGCTCTGCCTGGTAGCGGCGACAGAGCAGCCCCGCGATCCATGCGAACGAGATCATAGCGAAACTGTCTCCTATCAGGCTGAGGCGAGTGTCTTCCAACAACTGTTTTTTCCTTTCGTTTGGCTGGCAGGGAGACACAGAAGTGTGTGTCTGGCCCCAAACCCCATCAACAATTCACGCTCTGAAGCATTGGCGTACCGCAGGCTTTCCCCATTGCTCAAGAGAAACTGACGCTTGTATTGGCACGGCGGAAATCGATACTCATCAGACTCCCACCTCGCAACAGCATCTTCAGGGGTCCTATTGAGCCCCGCAGGGTTTGGGGGAGGACGTTCACGTGGAATGCTCTTCATAAAAGTGGGAAGGTTGTTGTCTCGAGACACGCGTTCCCACCCAGGCTGAATCCATCCCTGATCATCCAGCTTGTCAGCTGCCATCGTGACCTCACTGAACCCTTTGCGTCGAGTGACGCGTGCATCATTGCGACTTCCAGCAATCTCAGAGCACCAGGCAAATCGAGGCCTGGAAAAACACTGAACATCTGCCGGGTCTAAACGCAAGGGCTCCGTTCCCAGTTTCCAGCTAATCTCATCCCGAGCACTCACATCCATGGAAGCAACGTTCTCAATTACCCATCGAAACGAAGAGAATCCGGAGAACCAGCGAGCGATCCACTCTTTGACTTGAAGCAGCTGGAAAAACAAGTTGGATCCATCTCCGGCAAGATTCTCTCTACCATGCCTCACCGACGACAGGTGCACGCAAGGGAAGCCTCCCCACAGGTGGACTTCGTGCACGGACGCAAAGGTAGCGCTCCACTCCTTTACAGTTTCTTCTGTAATCTCCTCAACATTTGTAAGAAGGATCGCGTGTGGCCACGTGAGGCTGGTAACTCGGTTTGCGGCTTTGCAGCACTCTACAGCTATCAGCCCAGCGGGAGCAAGCCCCAGAAGGTCATATGCACGAAACGCGCCTCCAATCCCATTGAAGAGCGAAATCACCAGGACTGGTATCTCTACTGGTCCCGCATTTGGAGTGTTCAAAAAGCGGGCCAACGAGCAACCTGACCAACTTGCTCCTTGCCCGACGCAGAACGCGCCGCCTCTTTCTGAAGCGTCTGAAGCGATAACGACTTCACTCACCGGCCGGCGTAAGTCGGCCCCCACCAGTGGAGCCAGACAGCATCCCATCAGCAGTTCCAGCGATGCTCGTCCAAGTAGGAGCTGCGCCGGGCGCTCGTGATAGATCCCTTTCCAGAGATCACTGAAAGCTGCGAAAACTGGTCTGCGAAATTGCGCTAAGAAGGCCCATCTGCCTCCCAGAACTTGCAGCTCCTTTCGTCCGCCCTTGTTTCCCAGAGCGAAGCAGAGCGACGCCTGGCACACCTTCAACATGCGCAGGGTTCCCCCCGACAGCTTTCCAAACTGACCATCCAGCTCAGCCCCCAACTCAAAAGCCAAGCTGGCTTCTTCCACATTTTTGTCGGCCGCGCACAGGATGCCGGCGGAATCCCACGCCTGCTGAGATCGTTCAAAGAAGGCTTTGCCAGCCCCCGCTTGGTCTTCCTCCTGCCTGACTTCGGCACTGATGAAGTTGTCCAAGTGGACTTGCCACCATCCGTTTTGGCCCCCTCGGCGCCAGCATTCCACAAGCCATTTGGGAACAACTCGATCTTTCCGAATTTCATCCGAAGAAGGCAACCCTGCTTCTAGAAGCACAGTGCGGGAGATGCATTGCATGATGCCAACGGCGCTCCGCCAGCCCATGGGCAAAGTGGCGCATGCAATGGTGTACTTCCGCCCTGGCTCCTCTCCAAGCTCAGCACCATCCAAGCAAAAGTTGAGAGCAAACCAGGGTAGCCAACACTCGGGCAAAGAAAAAAGGTAGAAAGCACAAGCCATATCACTCTGATAGCAATACAGCTGCTCGCCTTCCCCAAGGACAATGCTTTGCCACGAGGTGATAGTGGGCAGACTCCCGACATGTCCCTCAATCGTCTTCTGCAACCCATTGGTAGGGATGAAGTTCATAATTGTTCTAAGCACAGGCCTCCCATCTTGAAGGAACTTTGGTTTCGGAACCCCAAACAGCCCGTTTAACACACGCTGCCCTTCCACGCGTGCCACGCAGTCAAGGGGAATGGGTTTGCACACCCCGCGTTCAACAAGCAGCCTTGCCACTTTTGCTTCTTCACCTGCGACTATATGAGCTTTACATTGTCTTGCGCACTTCTCGCGCAAGGAGGGGTCAACCATGCAGCGCTCCGGGTTGTTGAGCATCTCCTTGATTCCCCCATCCACCAGTTCCAGAGCATTCACACGCCCCCCTGCGCCAAGTGGGGGAAGAGCTCCTTCCATCTGGTCCACACATAGCGGCCTCATGGGCAGCACTTCTTCACCCGAATAATCAATCCGGGCATTCTTTAAATCTTGCATTATCGCACTCGGATCACACTTTATTCCCTCATCCCTTGCAAGCAGTGTTCGAATCTGTGATCGAAGAAGCCCCATGCATTCGTTTTCACATTTTCGGCCAGCCATGTCACCACGGCAAGGCTTTAGGCTCACTTGCGGCCAGCCCGCCAGCCAATTGATGGCGCGGCAGACGCAATAGAGCCAGCAATCTTCACTGAGCTCTTCGGAGAAACACACCTCATTCCAAGCAAGACCTTCTAGGCTCCAGGCTGTACATGGGCCAAAGACTCGCAGGGGAAGGAGGTGGCGGTGTCTGGAACCGACCTCCTGAAAGCTGCGACCATCACGAAAAAGGGCTTCAACGCAAAAACCGCGGGTCAAAAGCGATCCGTTCAAAAAACCCCATGCGAGCCAAATGCCCAAGGATCTAAAGCTCTCCGCCGCGGCTTCCCAGCCCTCAAGAAACGAGGCCAGCGGCACGGGCTCCCCAGCCGCCACCCCCAACGGAGGCGGGGCACGGGTTGCCCAGCCAGCGGCCTCGTTCCCTGTGGCACGGGTTACCACGCTGGAGGCCTCATCACCTTCTTGCTCTCTCAGGCCTTCCCATCGTTCTTCTTCCTCTCCTCCTTTTCCCTTTCCTTTCTCTCCTTCTCCTTCTTCCAATCGTTTTTCCACTCGTTCTTCTCTTCCCATTGCCATTGCCATCCTTTCCCTTTGTCGCCTTTTTTTCCTTTTCCTTTCGCTTTGCCCTTCCCCTTCGAACTCTCCCACGTCGACGCCGATGTCGAGGGTGTCCAATCCTGCCACTTGCCGTAGTCCGGTTTCCCCTCGCTTTTTGACAGCAACCGAGCATGCTTCTGCGCGGCGAGCAGTACCTCCGGGCGAGCCAACGACGACGTTTCCAGGCTTTCCACCTCGAGGTGCTTGGCGGTGTTCCAAGATCCCGTCGTTGCCGCAAGCTCTAACGCCTGGACTCTCCCTGCCAACACATCCCCCAGCACGTCTAGCTGACCTCCTCGAAGTAGATCTATGCAGCGGCACAGGATGAACAACTCCTTCTGATCCCGAGGGCGGGATTCGTACCGACTTCTCCAAAAGAGGTTGAAGTACAGCGTCATCTTCACCTCCTGCCGCTCTTCCTCCTCTTCCATGGCTTCGCGTCCTAGACCGCGTTCTTGTTCCGACAGTAGCTCCCGCGTCCTTTCGATCAGCTCCGCCAAAACCGAGCCCGGGTTGCGATCGGCCTTCTTCCTCATGGGCGGCAGGAGCGCTTTCTCGCTCTCGCTGCTGTAACCCGAGCTGCCGCTCGAGCTTGAGGAGCTCCTGCACCCCTTCCTCTTTTTCTTCTTCCTTCTCTTCTTCTTTCCATCTCGCTTGCGTCCATGGCCTAGGTGACGATTGGCGTAGTCTTTGGCCCGCGCAGCCAGTACCTCGCTCTGCTTCCTCTTTCTCCTCCTGCGCTTTTCTGCTCGTCCATGGCTTGCAGAGCGACTTTCGACCTCTATGGGTTCTTCCTTCATGCGTACCAGGCTCCTCCCAGCGTCCAGGACCGGCGCCTCCACCATCTGTTGAGCCGGACTCCCTGCAGGGTCCAGACCGGGGAACGTCACCTTTGGAGGCTTCAGAATGGATTTGGCGCTTGCTCCCCCTGCCACTCTCTCCTGTAGAGCTCGCAGGTTCTCCATGAAAGCCGGTTCCTCCCCACCTGGATCGCCCGGCAGGCCACTGTCCGACCCGCCTGGCTGAGGGGGCACAACTCCAACCTCCTGAAGCTCCATGCTTTTCCAAGAGTCCTGCAGGACTTTCCACCCCCGCACTGTGCACAGATGACCTGGGTATAGGCGAGGTCCCCAGTAACGAAGTGCGTCGCAGTGATGAAGAGGGTCCTTGGCCTCGCACAGCCTCACAGGCCCCAAACATTTGTGCAGAAGGAGCTTCCGCCTGTTGAACACGTTCCCGGCCTCGTTGTGGATATCTGTCGAGTTGCACCCGACGTACTTCACTCGGTAAGTCGCAACCCCTACCTGCTCGAGCACCAGTAGGGCGATTGTTCCCTGTCCACCATCCACACCATTGGACGCATAGGCGACGTGAATCACGGAACCAACTTCCAGATCGTACCCTATCCACCCGGCCGGCGCCTCGGCCGAAACCAATTCTCCAGCGGGGCCGTCTCCCCGAAAAGGCTCTAGAGCCTCTGAGGCATCGTCTTCTCCATAGGGTGCGCTCATTGCTCCGGTCTCCGGGGCAAGAGGTCAATCTTCTTGCTCCTTCCCAAATCCAGCTCGTGCTCGCCCAACCTGCGATGCACTGTCTTGGACGGGGGTTGTGACAGGATTCGCTGATGCCGACGTCCAGCACGATGGGTTCGATCCTTCTTTGATTTCTTGACCTTCTTATCTTTCCTCCTCTGCTTTGGACTCTTCCGTGGCAATGGGGCCCGAGGTGAGGAAGGAGCTGGGGCACTACTCTTCGGGGCAGCTCCCACCACACGTGGCGCCTCACCACTTGTCTCGTCCGAGTAGTATTCGTAGTCTTCCTCGGCCTCCACCTCCTTTTTCAATCCCCTCAGTTCCTTGGTTGCCGCGGCACGCTCTCAACCTGGGCAAGCCCAGGCGTGGCACGAGGAGTGACTGGGGCAGCCGCAACACCCAAGGCCTTCGGGGCCAGTGCCGGAGTTCCTTGCGCAGGCGTTTCACGTGGAAGGCCAGGTCCACCTCGTGGTGCTCTCTCTCCCCGTAGAGCAGTCGAGCCCAGTGCCCCAAGGGCTCTGATTTGCCTGGCGGCGGACAGGCAAATCTCCTCAGCCAGCTCTCTGGCTTCCCCCGACGCCCACCGTCGGTTGAGTTCCAGCTGTAGGGCCTCCACAGCCCTACAGCCCCAGCACCACGAATCACCGTCGGCCCTGC